GTGAGCTTGAGTTTGTTTAGGAGCTATTTCCATCTGTTCAGAAAACAGACTGGTTAAACTGAGTTTGAGTACAGATTTCACCTATGTTTTTTAAAATTGAAAACACAGTAGCTGATGTTTTAAATCTGGTTAGGAAAAAGAAAAAGGATGCTAACTGCAAAGGCAGTATTTTTTCATTGGGTACTGTACTGTTGGGTCCAGGGTCAGTAGTTGAAGAGAAAGCCAGTGTGGTCTTTTAGTTTGTTTTTGGGAAGGATTATGTACTTTTCAGGACAAGTGACAATGTGGAGAGGTAGGGAAGCATCTCTAAATGCTAGTGGAAAAGTTAAAAATACTTAATCCCCTTCTACTTTGGTAACATACTTGTAAAGGAACCAAACTGGTTTTTCAGTGTAGACATACCTACATCTTCTGGTTCCAAAACCATGTCCAGTTTACTCTGATCTGTAGCATTGCTAGAAAGCGTAGCTTCAATCTCTAGTGTTTTGCATGAAGGTGATATTTAACATTTTCTTTTGCTGAGGGGACAAGATTGCACGTACTCTTCCTATGGCCAAAGAGATGGGTTTGGTAAGCAGACAAACAGGGATCAGAACAGGGATGTCAGACATGCTTGACTCTGCCCCGTCCACATGTTGGGCCTTGCAGAGCAGAAGACATTCCTGTGATCCTCACCCAGCCCTTCTGCAGGCAGCATGGGCAATGAAGTGCTGTAGAACAGGACAGCTTTGCCATTTGTTTACTGACCAACCTCGTTTACTGCTTGGGAAAGGGAGGGAATGTTTTTAAACACAAATTTATTGCTTTGACAAAGCTGGGCTGGCAGTTTTGGCTATAACATATAGATCTTTCTCATTTATTATTCTGTCTTGTGAATCATACTAAAAATGAATGAGAACTAAATTTCATTCCCTGTGCCTGCCAAACAAAGGAACATTAGGTGACCCAATTATGTCCTTTTGCAGTGTGTTGGATGCAGAAGGACACGCTTGTAGTCTTTTAAAATGGTTTAATGAAGAATATAATCATTTCAGACTAATACTACAGCTTTTGAAATGCACAGGTTAGTCTTTTTTGTGAGAAGGGAACTGAATAATGGCATTGGAGGGTAGTACTGTGCTTAGCTGCAAAATAGATAAGTTATTGGCAACCCAAACTTTCCTGTTGGCTTTGCACATCTGCCTCTCCCTTACCTGGAGAGACCAGGTCCAGACTTGAGAGAACAGTGCATTCTGTATGGCCTCATCAGCCTTTGGCATCTCCTCCTTTAGTGCTAGTAATTGAGGATATGATTACCAGAAATTCAGCTGAGACCCCAGTAATCCTTCACTTAGACCAGATAAGTGTCAGTGAACGTGTAAGTGGACTTCTGAATAGCTGTGGCTATTCACTCTTTTTCAACAGCTTTGCAGTTGAGTTCTGTTGGTGCTGTGGAGATTCCTTCAGTGCAGTACACATCAGTTCCATCTCCATGTCTGGCTTTTTGTGCTAAAAATACAGATTGAAATGTTACCTTTCAGGGAATGTTTCTCACATGCAATATAATATATCTGACAAGAATAGGTAAATAAATTAATTCTATGTTTTAACTGTAAACATTAGGATTCATTAGTGCTGTTGATAAGATTCTTATGAAGTATGGGATGTGCAAAATTTGGTTTTATCTTTACTGATCGGCTGACACTCAACTGCCAGCATCCTGCATTTGGCATGCTGCATCCTGATGCTGGTTCAGTTTCCTTATGCTGTTGTAATTCAGTGACATGTACTTTAAAAACATGTTTATTGTTAATTAACGTGCCTTACATTTTAGAAACTTATTTAACTTAGTGATGTTTGGGGAAGCAACATGATGTCTTAAGTGACAGAACCCAAAGCTAAGACTTCGGCTTTGGCTGTCTACCAGATGGACACTTCTGAACTTGTAAACATTGCTTCACTGCTTTTAAGTTTTTCTGGATGTTAAAAAAATACTCTTTGTGGCAATCTATGACCCATTGTAAGGAAGTAGAATTATTTAGGACAGAAAGCTAAGGATGGACTGATACTGGAGTCTTTGTGTTTAGAATTGTTTTACTTTCATTTTCATGGTAAAGGACCTCTCATTTCTTTAATCTGTTCTTAAAATCTGACTGGGAGTGTAAGCCCATTGCAGCAAGAATAATTTTAATTGCAAGTCTGAGAAATGATTTTACATTCTTGTATTCTAGTGACACCTAAGTTAGCGTTAGTTATTTTTCTCTCATACTCTCAGAAGTACGTGGTGTGAGTTAAGCTTTGGCAGAACGTTGTGACCAGGAGAAAACTTGAATCTTGCTTTTCTGGTAGAAGTACTGGTTGGTGTGACAGCCCAAGCAGCTGTTTGTAGTACCTGTGTAAGTGTAGAGGGGCTTGTGTGAGGGTAAAGTGATAACAGACCTGCCCGAGTCCTGCAACATTAATAAACTAAATGAAGCAGTCACCACTTGTTTAGACAGAGACAAAAAATGAGAACTGAGCACAGGCAAAACTGTTCTGACCTTGCAGGAAGAGAAGGTGGATGTGCAAAGAAGCAGAATTCAGAGCAAGTAATTGCAACTGAGGCAAAGAATTACCTGTCCTGAAAGATGCTTCAGGAATGGATCATTGTGTAGCACACAAGTCTGTTGGGACTCTTAAGATTGTGAGCAGAACTCATGCTAGTAGTGATTCAGTTGTTACTCAGCTGTCTTGCTAAACTCTTTCTCATATTTTGCACTTCTTCGCTCCCACCCCCAAAATACACAGTTGCAAAATATTTCTAGATCTTATTTCTTAGGGCTCGTTAGAGATGAATGTGGAAATATTGATGTGTATTTGAAAAAGTTGATATGTAATTGAAAATGTTGGAGGTATTAGCTGCTGTTTAGTTAGGAACAGGTTGGTAGGAGAACTTTTGTGTGGCTTTGGACTGGTCATCAGGCCTTTTAGTCTTAGTTTGTTCTCATACTTCTAAGAAAAAGTACGGAACATGCTTTACCTGATTTATTCCAGTAATTTTTGGAACCTTTAGCAGTAAAGGTTCTTGTTTTTCAGGGGATAAGCCTTATGGGTTAGCAGAGAAGTCCTCAAGTTCTGGTGTCCAAGCTTGGTGTTCCACCTGTGTATTTGTTGTGGCAGAGGTGAGGTGAGTTCAGCTGGGGGCAGCCATGTAGCTTGGACAAAGATATCATGTTTTGAGTGCTGCTGGTGGCTTCTGTTGGGACCAGGCTTTTGCTTGAAAGTGAAACTGTCTATGGAAGAAGCCTTCTGGCTGGTCACGAAAATGGCCTGTGGAGGCTGTTTCGATTCTTAGCTGAATTCCTCTGGATTTATAGAGTTAGGAAAGCATTTGATCTTTCTGTTTTCGTTTGTATGTGGTGTTAAATATAACAAATGCACAGATTACTATTATTTGCAATTTGGAGTATGCGTGGGGAATTTTAATGGTAACTATAAATACACTGTTACTGTCAGTAGGACATGAGTGCATCTCAGAAGTGGTTACTTCCCATGCTCTAATCCTTTTCTTTAGGAAGGAGTTCACCCAGTTTTGTGGTGAGTATTTGTACAGTGGTGGGGTGTGTGCCTTTGAAGTCCATAGAAATGAGAAAAGCAATTAGTTACTGCAAATGGTCCTGTTGTCAGTGCTGTAGATAATCTTTCTTGGGACTGCACTGCGTATTTAGAGGGCAAGAACAGTGGGAACTAATTAGTGAGGTAGGGCTTAAATAATCCTTTCAGAACAGGCAATTTCTCTCCTCTGGGGAGGTGAAATGATTCTTTTAAGCCATTGATAAAGCTCAGCTGCTTCCAACACTTGTTAGTAAGAGACTGTAGAGAACCTATGGGTGAAGCTAGCAGGTATTTTGAATTCAGCATTTCTCTGGTAAACCTGGTGTACAGAACAGTTGAGTAGCTCTAGATACTCCTGTCTTGTTTTCCTGCTAGTAGTGACTTCTACATGGGGTGGTGAACTGCCATGAAAGAAAGAAATTGAGTTTGTGTAGATCTGCCTTTGCTTGTTGACCACCAAAATAAACCAAGTATGTTTGGTAAATTTAAGCTGGACTTTATTAACAAATGGTGCAGGTATGCATGTCTTCCCTAATCCGAAACTCTTAATTAAGTACAGCAACTTATGCTGTTAATTGTTAATTAATTCTAGCTGTGATGCTGTCCTGAGTAGCAGGCACTTGCTATTTCATTGTACATTACAGAGGACTTGAACTGTCACTTCATGTGTGAGAGTGAGCTGCTTGTCTTAGAGGCTAATGTGATGGATAGGAAGAGTTATAAATTCTTGCCATGCCCTGATACCCAGTGTCAGTTGTAAAATATGTTCAGAAATATGTCACGAGTCTAAAAAAAGCTGTTTAGCTTTTGGTGACTGAACAATGAGGTTGGTCTGAAAAATCTGTGCGCAAAGGGTTTTCCAGCCCAGCTTTCAAGTGCTGGTCTTTGTAATTGCTATATTCAGATAACATATGCATAGTTGAAAACAATAATTTTGGTCAAGATCAGCATGCTTTACATTTCTCCCTAGTTTTCCTGACTCTTTGGTAAGCTATGCCTTTTTTTTTTTATATATACTAGAAGAAATTACATGTTATGATGTTTGTTTTTTTCAGGGAGTTGGGTTTTATGCTGAAAGCTTCTTAAAGAATGCAAAGCTTGAATGTGTTCCATTCTCAAATGATTGGGAATGTCATCGGTATGGTCAGGGTGTAAATTGTGCAGATTAAGAGTGACTTGACCTTTAATAAACTTATTCTTTAAAAATAAAAAGGATCTGCAAACTCCATACAAACCTACAGTCTTATGAGTTTTGGCTAGACTGTGTTCTAAAGCAGACTGTGATTCAAAGTATATTGAAGGAAGGGTCTTTCTGTTTTTCAGCTTTGTATGCTTCTGTAATGCTTTGCTCATTTGTTTTCACAGGGCAGCTTCCTCATACATTTTTTCCAGCTACGATCATTAATCGGGACTGAACACGTGGGTTATCTGATCTTCTGTGGTTTTTAGAAGCAGGTACGTTGGCAGGGAAATCTCTGATGTTTTATTGCTTGGGGACAGGGGGATAACTGCTTCATCTATGTGCCAGAAAGACTTGTAGGGTTAGGGAGATTCTGCTTAAGTAACATTTTGTTATGTATGGCATATTAATGTAGATTTCTTGAGAAAGCAAAGTTGATAAGTACTTTGATAAGGTTTTTCAATCCTTCATAAAGATGGATTGTTGCTGTCTTCTGGGCATAGACTAACTTTGTAAATGGTTGTGAAAATTTACTGACGTAATATGTGCTGGGTGGTATTGTCATCCTAAACCATCTCTTAGAAAAGCTTCATGTAACAGGAACAGAGATATGTTAAAGTTTTTCATGCTGGGGTCTCAGTACTGTCTCAATACTTCTGTCTTTCTACTTTTGATGCCATCAAGTAGGAAAAGCTGTGGTGGCTGAAGCTGTCACCCAGAATGATTGTGCAGTGTATGAAGAGCAAAGCACAAAATTATTATGGTGGAAAACAATGAATAATGATATATATAGACTACAAATCTCTTGTAATACCTGATTTTTAGAGGAATGCTGAAATGTGGGCTCCCTAGCTGGCATGGGGCAGCTGTGGCATTTCCTTGGTGCTTGTGTATGGTGCCACCTATTGATAGATAGCCCATCTCATTTGTTCCATTTTTAAACGATAGATGTGTTATGACACATGGAAGGTTTGAGCAACCTGGTCTAGTGGAAGGTGTCCTGCTGATGGCAGGGGGGTTGGAACTGGATGAGCTTTAAGATCCCTTCCAACCCAAACCATTCTATGACATTTCAGGTTTTTGCTGTTAACCTTTTTCTTTTCTAAGTTGATTTCTTTGGCTACTAGTACAGTACCTTCCCTCTTCAACTAACAATATTTTTTAAAAAATGTATTAGTATAACATTAAGAACCAGTCACAACCTTTCAGACTTGGTATCTTGATAAATATTTATTGTTCTGTCAGTCTCTGGATGTGCATAACTTAATGTCTCTTGCTCACTGTCTTATTCTTTTCATTGCGTTACTATTGACGTAACTTGTTAGCACTCAGTAAATTGCACTGTGGAGTATATGCTTAGTAACATAATCCAATCTATTTACTGGAGTTGGCACTACTCAAAAACATGGGATCATTTTATTCCCCCTTCAGAAAGCAGTTTACTGATTATAACAAAACAAAAAAAAATCACCTTGCACATTTGCAGGCTGCAGGTTTCCAAGCAGAACAATCTGTAGCAAACCAGTGTAATGCAAATCTTCCCACTGGAAACTCCTTCAAGTAGGACTGGTGATAGAACTTTCTGCACTTTTTACTACTGTTATCTTTATCCTGAGTAATGTGGGTGGTGAAGCCCATCCCAGCAGCTGCTACCGAAGTTTGCATTACTTCTGACTCACTCAGGAGGGCCTATGTGTAATTTTAAACTGTTTCCACACCCAGATTACTTTCCCTTAAAAGTAATAATGAAAATAAAGTGATGGGAGAGGTTGGTAAAGACTATGGGAACACTTCACATGGAGAAGAGTGTGTTTGAACCTGCTGTGATAGAGTCTTCACTAAGCATGCCTTGTGTAGTGTATATCCTTGGCTACTAAGGTTCAGGGGAGCAGATTTCTAGTTTATTAGAGGACCAGACCCAGTCCTGTGAATGAAAACTAATCAGAGAACTGTTCTGGAGCTGATTCTCCGAGCTGCACATGGCAGAAGGGTGTTTGACTGGTTTACACCTCCATCCACTGATTCCTTAGCAGGGGTTATGTTTCTCCAACACACACTACTTCTAAGAGGTTAGTTGAGTTTGTTATACAGCTGTACTAGTGTTTTATTTAAAGCACCATTATTTTCTAAATTTGAAGTTAAGGTTCTTACTATTGTTGACTTAATAAACATGGTCCAAGATGATTTTTAATAGTGGCTGAAGAGTATGCCTGAACTTTTTTTTGTCTTGGTAAACACCCTATTGTGGAACTTCAGTGATTACCAAATACTCAGCAAAGTGTAATCATGCTCTGCACTATAGAATATAGATAACATAGTCTGTTTATTCCATCACATAATTATTTTTTATTAAAATAAAAAAGCAAAACTTCAGCTTTTAAATTCAGTGAGAAAGGATGATAAGTGCTACTCCTTCCCTGCTCCTCTTAGCAATTCTTTCTCTCTCCAAAACAATTTTATAAATTTTATTAACTCTTACCAAACTGCAGTGGCCTTTTTTTATATGATATAAAAAGGAAAAAGAAAAAAGAGAGATGAGAGACTTAAAAGTTTAGGTTTCAACCAGCTTTTGTTTAGCCACTGCAGGTTTGATGGCTGTGCATTCTGCATCCTGTTTTCATACTGGTTGTGCTTATTTATGGGAAAAAAAATCAGAACCACGGTCTCTTCTGTCAGGGTGATTCTTTCATCTAGTTGTTAGAATTCTCTTTTTCTACTCATGCAGTGTATAACAATAGATAATGAGCTAGCAGGGATGTGAACATCAGCCTCTTTCAGTGTTGGAGTTGCATATGTAAAGCCCAATTCAGCTGTTCAGATTTTTAAGGATTTCTCTGATGAAGCATGTGATTCCTTACTCTACCAGGCTATTAAATGGTCTACCAACTGGTAAAAAATAGGCAGCTTGAAAATTAAACTTTCCTATTATGCCCTGTTATCTCTTTTAGTTTGTCTTTTTCTGGTCTTATATCTTCAGGAAATCCAGGAGCTGGCAGGAGGGGAATGAACCGTGAGGGTGTCCCCGGAAAGAGTCCGGAGGAGATGTATATTCAGCAGAAAGTGAGAGTCCTACTCATGCTGAGGAAGATGGGATCAAATGTAAGATGCACTGTCATAGTCATATTTTGTGGCTTTCCAGACATAATTTTGTCTGGAAAATTATGGGATGGTTTTATCACTGAATTGTTTTAGCTATCATTAATTTAACCATTATCTGCAATTAAACACAATTGATTTTTGCTTAAATATTGAGGCTTGTGATGCCTGAAACTAAATCTGAGCATCTGATACATTTCTCTATGTACAGTGAGGTTTTTAATTATTGGAAAACTAGCAAAATAAAACAACTGTTTTAAGGTGGCTTTGAATATCTCCATGAATGCACGATGTACCAGTTTGTTGCTGTGTCCTTGCTGATGGTTTAGTTTGCACACATAGCAGTTAGATTAATCTGTTGAAGAATAGAATAGAGGCAACTGTGATGTTTCTTATTGGAAAGTGGGAGATAATATTTTCAGTCTTTCTTCATTTTCCTTTTTGCTGACTGACTCTTTGTACATTTGCAGCTGACTGCTAGTGAAGAGGAGTTCTTGCGCACGTATGCAGGTGTAGTGAATAGCCAGCTTAGCCAGCTTCCTCAACACTCAATTGATCAGGGTGAGTACTGGGTTTGTTTGCTTGTGTTTATTTAATCTGTGAGAACAGTTTTGGAAAATACCAAGTGTAGGTTCCTGTATTTCTGTAATAATATGCGACCTATTTAAAACCATCCTGCAAACTGGGATATGCAAGTCATTGCCTGCTGCAGTCTTTGGATGAGAACTAGTGTGTACTGTTCAATAGGTGAGTTTATTTTCACAAGTCAAGTCAGTCTTGGCTATACCTAAGATTTGGATGAAGAACTTTTTTAAACATCTTACTCTCCATGATAACTCGAAACATTGATAGCCAAAGTCCTGTGAACTGAATGAATGTCTATAGCTTCCTACTCTTTGTAATACGTTAAATAGAAATAAGTTTTAACCTGGCTGATATTTTGCTATAGGTGAAGTTAAATTCAGGTATGCATAGGTTCCTCTAGTTCTCAGTGTGTCTTACTCTGTTCAGTTTGGATCAACTGCATAAGATGACTTCCGTCTGAATTTTTATATTTATTCTTAAACTGGACATCTGTGCTTAAAAAGCAGCAAGACTGGGGATGGCAAGCACTTTCTGTGTGCGCTTCAAACTGGGAGTTTTATAACAAAACAAAATGTGAAGTAGATACAGATCTCTAAGGTACAAAAGCAATTTGTTATGCATATAATAATGTAGTTATTATGACTCTAGTTGCTTGATAACACTTTTCTCACAAAATAAAATTTAATCATCGAACAGCATCTTTTATTTTTCACATTTCCATGAATGTGGAAGTAAAGTGCAATGTTAGTGTTTCAGCCCAGTAAGAGGGAAAGTTTAGCAATAGGAGGAATTTGTTTCCCATTGCATTTCTTAATTTGTACAATGTACTTAATTCCTTAACAGAGGTAGTAGACATGAAATAAGTTTACAAAGCTGCTTTGGTTTGTTTAGATTCCCATTCAGGGGATGAAGTACATGCTGCTTCTGTGAATTCTTTGCTGAAGTCTTGGTAAACAATTGTGTGGCGCTACTCTGAATCTACTAATCTCTTCTGAACCTGAATGTTTCTTTCTGAATTTTTTTTTCTCCCCTTCATAGGCCTCCTGCCAGATCACATTCATAATGTAGGATTTGGTATTGAAGGAAAATTGTAAGACTCGTATGCCAGAAAGAACTGAGTTGAGCAGAAATTTAATATAGATCTAAGACATTTAGCAAACCATTAGAAACACAACCTGCACAAACTTGCTCTTCAGTTTTAAGCCTGTGTGTTCATTCCTCACATAGCTGGGGGATTGATGGAGATAGATATACTTGTATATTTTGGCTCAGAATTATTAAATTTTTTTTGCCAGTCTAAAGTGAAAATTTGCTAGTTTCTCATCTAAAACAGAGGTAGACATATTCAGTTAAGAAAGATGTCTTAGTTGCAGTTGGCATTTTTCAGCATTATTCCTAAAGTAACTACATTTCTCACACTGAAAATAGATGCTGAATTACCTGCACTTGGCAAGGAAGAGAGAATAAAAACGTAAGTCCAGCCAGGGGACACAGATACTTTGTGCAGCTGTGCTCCTGCACAGCCTGATCTAACTTTCTTGTCTAAACTGTCTGGTTTTATTATCTGTAAAATTATATTTTCTCACTTTGCAAAGGGCTTTGGAGACTCAAAAAATTGAATTTTAGCATAACTTTTAAATGTAATCAAAAGAGAGACCAACAGTTGCTTAGTCATACAGGAAATGTGTTTCGTACACTGTTCAAAAAGTTGTCTTTGTCCCATATTTGAACAGATGCTGATTTCTCTGTTAAAATTTTCTTAAAGTCCTTGAAGATTCTTAAAACTTTGTCCATAGGGAAGTGAAGTCCTCCAAGTTGATGCTTACTTTGATCTAATCTGAGACACTGCTGTCTTTCCTGGGAGACTTGACCCCACACTCTACCTTCAATCCTCTCAAATTATAATTAAGCTGGTGATGTGGCCATTAAGATATTTTCATGGTAGGGGAAAAAAGAACAAAGAAAGAAAGTAGTTAAATATTTAGAGAAGTGGGAAAGGTTGTTGGTTCTTTTCATAATCAGGTATGCCATCTCTACAGATTAAATAGTGAACAGCATGAAGAACAAATGAAAATGAGGAAACCTAGACAAATACTTTTATCTTTGGAGAAAGGCGATGCTGTAGTATGCTGTGTAGACCTAAGCAGCTATAAATTACTGCTAAGGAGTTTGATTTCCTTAGGGATCTCTCCAGATTTATAACAGTCAGTTATGATAATGTTCCTCTTTGCTCTTAGGTTTAGTGGCTCACACAACAGCAATCATTTCAGTCTGTCTGAACCTTTTGCTGTATCTGGTATTGGTGAAACAGGAAGGGTCGATTATGGAAGTGTTGGAGATGGAGAACACAAATTGCATAGTGTCCAATTTGCCAGTTTAAGGGAGGTTCCATCTCCACTAGATGGCATTATCTTGTGCTGAAAACCCCGTCCCAAGCCCACAAGCTGAGGTAGTTCAACGTTTTGTGTTCTTCAGGATTGCTTAGAGAAATTTTCTTCCCTACTTTTCTCTGTTTTCATTTAATCTCCTCTAGAGGATTTTTCTTTTTTTTTTTGTCTTTATGAACTTGCCTTATGCAACAACTAAAAGGTGTGTTATTTAAGGAGTAACTTACAAAGAGTTAGTATGTTAGTGGATTTCACAATCTTTTCTTCCATTAGAAGGACAGATTGCTCTCAGTCTAACTTGTCCCAGACCTATCTTTAGAGTCATATTCCTTCAGCAGGCACACAAAAACAAAAGCTAATTTCATACCCCCATGTAAAAAAGGGAACGACATTCTTGACCTTAACACTCTGAAAGCTTTGTTATAGACCTGCAGATTGGTGTGGGTCACTTCAAGATGCTGTAGTCTGGCTCCACAATTACAGGAAGGTTGTTTTGTTTCTGGATTTTTATTTTTTTTTAAAAAGAAGAGTATAGAGGATGGATGGCTCAGAATTTTGTAACTATTTCACAGTCTCTATTTCAATTTTTATGCTTTTCTTTGTTGTGCATCCATAAAATACTGTCTTAGAACAGCTGGCTGGTGGCCTCATAGTAATTTACCTGAGGTAGCACTGCTGAGCTTATCACCACATGGTGCTCCCTGCTATGGTTTGTGATAAAGACCCCTCCACTTCTTTGTTGAGTCTATTTGTCTGACCACAGGGAGTCACTGCAACCTATGTGTCCAATATATATTTGCAGCAATCTTACAGTGCATTGAAGGAAGCAGTTTACACTTGTTCCTGCTCAATTCAAGTGCTTGTGCCACGAACCTTCAGTGAGCCACTATTAATAACAGTATCTCTGACATTTAAAGTCCTTTCATGATACTCTGCTCACTATCTTAGGGTTCAGCAATAGAAGTTAGGTACTAATTTTGATCAAGAAACATCTTAGAATACATCTGTAATTTTTAAGCAAGCAAGCCTGAAGTCTTAAGACTTCCCTTCAGTTTGCGCTTATTTTTATAGGAAAAGGAGAAATTAAACTCTCTACCTTTTTATTTCCCATCTTGCTATCCAAAGGAATTCATCAGTTCAGTCATACAAAATGGTTTAGGATTGTTTGCAGATCTCCCTTTACATTTGAAATGTACATTTGGAACACCCTCATTCTTGAAGCATCTCCATTGTATACATTCATGTGTTCATAGCTTGATATTTTAGCTCTTTCTATAAATACTTCGGGCTGTTCACCCGTTCTTTTCTTCAGCTGATCCAGACAGTTGTGTTGCATCCATGACAGTTACAAGGCTTATCTAATGTATTAAAAATACTTTATTACCCATTGAAAGGTGAACTGCTAGCAGAAGGGGTAAGGTCTCAGTAACCCAGGAAAGCCTGAACAATAGTTACAAAACTCTAGGCTGAAATACTAAATACTTGAATTTAGTATTAAGAGACTAAGCATTAAAATTATGCTCACATTTATTTAATAACCATTTTATTTCTGGATCATTGCTATTATGATCAAACACTTATATGAAAGTGCAAAATATAGGGCATTTTTCTTTACTCAAGGAGCTTTTTAGCTGACATCTATGAGTTGCTTGTTGTTTTTATGGCTCCAGGAATAACTGAGGAACCCAAAGACATCTCTGTTCAACCAGTGTATATGCTAGAAAGTGAATGTGAACTGTTTTGAGATACTAACATATTAGTTGTTTTCCCTGCATTGCAGCAAGAACTAACACAGCTCAGACTCATTAGGTTTCTTGAGCTTGAAATGATGAAATTAAGGCTTTCTCACATATTTTGAATACAAGCAAAATGCCTTTCAGGAAGCTATATGCACAGAAGCATCTCCTGCATAAAAACCATGTTTCCTGTTTCCCCATTACTTACATTTCTAAATGGTAGGCTAGCACTTGGCTTTCTTAAGTCGGCTGCTCTGGCAAATCTGTAAATGGAAGCGGTGCAGCTAGTGAGCATGATATGTGAATTATACCAAGACCTTGGTGATTACAGCTCTGTTGTTCCTATAGCAACAGGAATGTCGTGCTGGTTCTTGAAGGAAGCTGGTCCCTTGGGGAGGGCAAAGCCAAGATGCAAACACATGCCTCAGCTAGGTTAGACACGTTCTCTAGGTGGTAGGGCATTAAAAATGAACCCAGGCTGCTTGTGGAGTTAGGAGGGCGACCATGCTTATGAAATATCAGATAGTGGTAGATAAATGGAGATAGACCTCTTCTCAGTGTGGCTTTATTCTTTTGAACACAGGGTTTGATTTAGTGTGCTCCTCCTCTCAGCAGTGCATGTTGTGTCTTTAGAGTGCCAGACTAGGATCCTAGTACTGGGAATTTCAGAGAAAGGTTGTTTAGAAGATAATTGCTGGGAAGTGATTGAAGAAATGTGTGTACGCAAAGATTTTGAGGAAATTTTTTTTTTAAAATTTGTCAGTCTTCAGACATTCATGACAGACTTAAACTTCTGATTTCTAAAGGCTTTTTGAGTTTAGGTAATATTGCAGGTGACTACAAACAAATCTAT